CACGTTTCTCCAGCTGGTCGCCCACCACTCTCAGAAGGGCCACGGAGATCATGAAGAGGTTGAGGAGGAAGCAGACCTCGCAGAGCTTCCCCACGGCCGCCCCGCACACCGCCCGCACCACCCCCTGGTAGGTGGGCTGTGCGCTGAGAGCCGCCGCATAGCCCAGCACCGCCAGCCCGCTCACCAGGAACACCAGCGAGCCCTGCGGGGACACGACCCGGCAAGGAGCACCACACAGACCCTCTGACACCCCCGGGCCAGCGGGAACCCAGCAGGGCCACGAGCAGGGACCGGGTCACCCGCCAGGTTGCCCTGTGGCCTCAGGTAACACAGGTCAGCAAAGGGATGGAGACACAGCCCTGTGGGACACTTCGGGTTTAGATCTGGGGTTTGGGGACATGGAGGGGAGCAGACACCAATCTTATTTTAGGCTGAACCACAAGCCAGCTACAAGTGTGGCTTCAGCTGCAAAGGGCATCCCCCAAGGCTGCTGCCCCCCTGCTCCAGGCGGGGTCGGTGCTGTGCGAAGAGGGGCCCCGCCGGCTCCCAAACAGCGAAGCAGGTGAACCCCCCTCTCCAGCCCATCCCCAGAGCGGCGCCGCTCGGCTCCCTGTGTCCCTTCTCCCCCGCGTGCCCCCCGAGTGCCCCCTTACCAGCTCCACCAGGAGGGCGGGCACGGCCCCGCCGGCCCTGCCGAAGGCCCAGGGGAAGCTGAGCAGCCCCGCGCCCAGCGCGGATTTGAGCAGGATGAAGACGGCGCCGGCGGAGGAGAGCCCGGGGGAGCGGGGCCGGCCCGAGCCCCCCGAGCCCCCCGAGCCCCCCGGCCGCAGCAGGGGCCGCGCCTCGCCCGCCGCCCGCTCCATCCCGCGGCTGTGCCGGCCCCTCCGCTCGGCCCCGCGGGGGCGGGCAAGGGGAGCGCGGGGGCTGCGCGGACCCCCCGCCCCCGGGGCCGTGGGGAGGGGGCTCCGGGGGACGGGCAGGAGCCGGCCGTGGGAACCCCGTCCCGGGAGCTCACCCACGGAGAGCCCCGTGCCGCTCCCACCCCGCTGCGGGGAGCGCCCATCGCCGCGGGGTTCACGCACCGCCCTGGATCGAAACCCGCGCCCCGCTGTCCCCGGACAGCCCCAGCCCTCGAACAGCTCGCACGGACCGCAGCAGCCCCAGCAGCAACCAGAGCAGGGCTGGGGCACGCAGGCTGGGGGCTCCCCACTCTGCATTCTCCCCATCCACGAAATTCCCACCATAGGGCTGGGGCCTCCCTCTTCCTGCTGTGTTCACCCCACCCGTAAAATTCCCACCGTGGGGCATTTTGGAGCATCCTGGCAATGGTGAGGGAAGGCAGCTGCATTGTGCCCTTCAGACTGTTTGGCTGGCGGGTGCTTCATCACTCGCTGGATGCAGGATGAGCCCAGCACCCCTCCATGTCTCCACAGCACCTAAAAGCCCAGTGGCACTTTCCTGCACTGAGAGACCTTGGAGAGGAGCCATCCCACCCCATCCCAGCCCTTGCTCCACACAGGGGAAAGGGGTGCTGGGACACCAGGATGGAGTGGCTGATGCTGCTGGGGAGCTGCACAGAGGGGGCTGCACCCCACAGGGGTGAGGGGCTCTGTGCCCCTCCCAGCACCTGCCACTGCCCTGGGCTCAGCACACAGACCCTGGCTGACAGCCTCTAATACATTTTTGATTTCCCAAATATGTGCCCTTCTGATCTCGCTAAGACGGATAAAGAGACTTTAATCAGCTGCTAGGCGGAATTATGGATGGCTAATTGTGCCTGCCACCTCCATTACATCTCTGCCGCCTACAGGGCTTATAACCACTTAGAAGGGCCCTTCCAGGCCTTCATTAGCTGCACACCAAAGGCTTCGGAAATAATTGGCCTTTACGACTTAGAAATTGGCCACTGGGCTGTAAAATACCAGCCACTGGGAAAGGCTCTTAATTCGGACTGCGCTTTGATACAGCTCCACTCTGGTTTCAGGGCTGCACTGGGGCTGTAATCTCTCATTAGAGAGCAAGGCTCCTCATTAGCACTGACCTGAGCAGTGACAGCTTTCCAGTCTCCCTCTGATGGATCAGAGGACCTCAGACCAAAGGGATGCAGTTCCTCTCCCCTGATGGCACAGCAGCCCCAGGTGGTTTCTCTGCTCAGTGGCTCTGGGCTCCCTCGCTCCATTTTCCCCTCTTTCTCCCATTTATCTGGGTGCTCCAGTCCCTGAGCTGCAACCTGTAACCCAAGGGTCCTGTGGGTTGGCAGCTTTACCTGCTGCTGTGTCCCCTTGGCAGGTGGAAAAGGGGCTGTTGATATGTTTTCATTACTGTCCTTGAAGACTGTCAAAGGCACAAAAATGCAAATGGACAGGCCTTGTTTTGGACAAATAAAAACACTGGCCACAACTACACCTTGCTACCTGCAACCCCTTCTGAGGTCTGGCCTTTGAGATTTCACACCTTTACTGACAGATCTTCTGCAACCAGGATGGCTTGCAGAGCTGCTGCTGGTTGGCCCTACAAGAGACCCCAATGCCACAGGTGTGATGGTGCAAACCTTTTCCTTGCCATCACAGCTCCCTGTTTGAAGGAGGAGGAGCAATGGGCTCCAACCCCATTGGGATGGCACAAGCAGCCCAACCTTGGAACCCTCTCCTCAGCCCTAGCGAGCTTCCAACTGATGGTTCCTGTGCAAAAGCTCAGTGCCCTCTCTGGCGTGGCAACAGCACACTGACTCTTCCTGCACTGAGTGCACCCTCACCTTCAGAAGAGACACACTGGAAAAAGCCACCACTCTCCAGCTTAGGGAAAATGCGTTTTTCCAAATCCTTTTTGCAGGATACTCATGCACTGGCAGACCCTATCCACAGCCACCCCCTGAAAGGCTTGGCCCAGGTGACATGGAGAAATGTTCTCTCCTGCAGTGCCCTTTGCAAGGCCCATCCCCACCACCCAGGATGGCAAGCCCTGACAGGATGGGTGCAGTCAGACCACCCAGAAGGGCTGTCCCTGTCACCTCCTCTTTCTCCAGCTGTGCCCAAGGGCTGCCCGAGAGCTCACCCAGGACCCTTCACCAGTGCAGAGCACTCACCTGCCCAGGTGTGATTCTGTCACCAGCAGAGGCAGACACAGCTCCTGGCTCCTCCTGGGAAAAGGTGCTCACCTGGAGCAGGGATAGCAGCAGCTGGCAGGGAAACCCTCACAGCTTCACTACAAAAGAGAGAGGCTATTTCAATGATGGCAACCTTAACCAGCAGCACATGGACAGGGGTAACTTATCTAAGTCAGTGACAAGTGCCACACTTTCAGGCAGGACCAACCAAAGGAGACAGGTTTTTGGGTGTGTGACACACCACACTGTGCTGTCAGGTGCCACCCCCATGACAGATTTTTATCCAGCTCTTTGGGAGCGCTCTTCTCACCACAAACCTCTCCTTTTGCAGCTTTCCAGAACCAGCACTGTTTGTACAACTGCCCAGTCAGTGACCCAAAGGAAAGTTTGCAGCTTGGGATGCTGCTGGTAAGGATAAAGGTATGGTGGGAAGAGGGGAGACATGAATATCTCCTCTACTCAACACCTTGCTCTCTTCAGACAGCCAGTGGAAAGAAGAGCCACTTAGCACATTGTCTTTGCTTCATATAGATAACATATTTATTGAAAATCTGCTTCACCAACAACGGTGAAATCATGACCAAAAATTACAAAACATCATGGTAGTTGGCTTTATAAAAATAAACTGCAGGAGTATGCCTCACTGATTTATACTGGTCTCTCGCCCCTCCCTCCTTTAACGGTGCACGTTGTACTCTCCAGCGTAAATGCCATTCTAGAAAATTGCATTCCATCCAAAAAAATGCACTTGTTTTTCCTTAGCAGAGGTCCTTAAAGTGACTTTTCCCCCGCCCTCCCCAACAATAAATATAGAAAATAGCCTCTAAACAAATAAACTTTAGTTTGGTCAGCTTAAAAAAAGGTCCATTTTCTCCCCCTTGGGATATGTAGTGACTGATCAGCCATTTAAACAGTATTCAAGTCTTTGGTGGCTTCAGCTGCTTAAAGCTGCAGTTTTATGTACAGATGATCAAATGAGGTCCTTTTTTTTTTTTTTTTTCTCTCCAGAAGCCAAAGACTGTGAGATGATGTCAGGTGCACATCACTAGAGCCACCAGTGCTGCATTTGCTGCACCTTCACTGGGAGTGGCCGCCCAGGAAAGCATCCGGTGACGGGAGGTGATCTTTGGCACGGCAGGGCTCTCACACCGAGGGTGTCTTTGGTGGGTGAACCTGCTGCATGAGCTGCGGCCGCTTCACTCGCGGTTTCCGCCTCTTTGGCCTGCTCTTGGCTTTGTTGATCTGCACCACAAAGAACGCCAGAACCACCATGGCCCCGAGGAAGGCGAAGACCGGGATGGTCTGTCCCACGTCCTGGTTGTACCGGCCGGGCATTATACCTGGAAAGGCAAAGAGGTTTGGCAGCAGGTCCTGACCACGTGAGCTGCGATGTCTCTGGGGTGTTAATGCCACCTGCCAGAACGGCCCAACGGTAACTCCTGTTCACAGACCAAGCAGCCATTAATCAGATTACACTTCAGACAGGAAGATTAACAGCTGCAGACCGATTAGTGAAAATAAGACAGGATGCTAACGCTACAGAAAAGCACCAGCACTTCCACCCTGATCGATGTGGGCGCATGAAAGTATAACCCAGATTTCCCCTGCAACAACAATCTTCTGTTCTGCACTAGAAGAGAGATGCAGCTTGGCCATAATCTTACTAGTAAGTAATTGCTGTAACTCCAGTCCTGATGGAACAAGGACAGTGGTTTCAGGCTTGCTCCAGACACCGTGGCTGGATATGGTGAGAATGAGCTGCAGAAACAAACCCTTCATTTTTACAGGTGTCTTTCGGTCGAGCAGCTCAGGCTGGGAGAAGATCCATAGAAGGCTTTCAAACTGCTTCCAGCTGGATCTTCAGGGCCAAGCTTGTGTAGGAGAGTGGCCCACCACTGGACAAAGCTGGTTTGAGTCCTCGGCATCATCGTGTGCCAGTGCAAAAACTCACCCAAGGCACCAACAAACGCTTCTGGACTCTGCTTTTGGGCACTCACAGAAGGAACTTTATCAGCAGTGGGTACGTGGCCACAGCTCCCAAGGACAGGGGCTGCTGCTGACACCTGTCAGTCTGAACTGTGCCAAAACAAATCTCAACTACACAAAGTGCACCCACCACAATCTTCTTCCCAGCGTGTCATGACGCCTTCTATCGAATAAACTCTTCATGTGGAAAAAAAAATTCACATCTGTCTTTTCTAACAGCCTTTTCTGACACAGCCATGCTATTACTCGCATGTTTTTTTGCAACTGAAAATAAACAGTGGCCTATTGTATGGTTGTGCTGGGTTTTGGGTTTTTTTTTTCAAAACTTATACAAAAAGCGCAACCAAAACACCAATTTTCAAAGTTTTCAGTATTTACCTCCAGGAATGTCCCATGCTCCACTTTCTCCAGGGGACAATGGTCTCACTTGGGGTCGGTTCTGTCGAAAACTGGGCAGTGCCACTTTATCCAGGTCAATTGACAGTAATTTCTGATGTTTCCAAAGGTTGCTAGAACAAATTTAAAGACAGAGGTGTCTGCCCACTTACTGGTAATGCAAGGAATTTTCTAGCAACATATACAGAGAGTGACAGTTTACAGCTACGTCTCATTCACTGGTTTGGACCCAGATGACAATCTGATCCATTCTTTAGGTTCTGCAGTTGGCAGGCCTCCAAACTTAAATTCAGACACCACAGGGACACA